CGGCCCCCCGAGCCGGGTCGCCAGTACCCCGCTACCTACCCTGTGGGGTCACGAGCCCCCCGGAACTCAGGCGCGGCTGCTCGGGCGTGCCGCCTCCGCGGCCATGACGGCAACCGGGGAAGCGCCCCGCGCGCCCAGGCCCGCGGTCCGCTGGGCTGGGAGGAGAGCCGCCCCGTCCGTTCGTCCGTCAGTCCGCCAGGCGAGTGAGGCCAGAAGACGCCCCAGACGGGTCTAAATCAGGGCTCGGGGCGGTCCCGACAGGCTGAGTGACAAATGGCAGATGCCGTGGGCTTTGCCGCCCTCGGCAGCCGTGAGGATGGCTGCGCCGAGGAGGCCGCGCACAGGCGGAGCCCGGGAGCCGGAACGGCGCGTCCGCGAGGAGGGCGCTGGGGCCCCTGGCGGGGGCGTCACGTGGCAGGAGGAGGCCCCGCTGGGGAGCCAGGGGGTCGGCGGCCTGGGCGGAGGAAGAGGACAGGCGCCCAGACGCCGGGCCGATTGAGTCATCCGTGTGGGCTCAGCCAAGGTCGCCCAGGTGCAGCGCTGGCACAGGTAGCCCCGAAGCGGTCCGAAGCCCCGGAACGGAGCGGGGACTGTTCGCTGAAGTCACCAGCAGGATGAACCGCCCTGAGCCAAATCATAAATGAGAAACACGACAGATGCTAGAAGAACGCTGCAATAGGCCAAACTGCCTTACCTCCTATTCGTGCCGTGTTGAAATAATGGCAGCCTAAATGCGACCACTCATGGTGAGCCAGGCACCGTGCTAAGCACTTTACAGGTACACGTAATCCTCGAGACCACCCTGGGACCTTGGGTGCCACTCCGTCGTGGCAATCAACAGACTAAAGCACCGAAAAGACTAGAGGGAGACAGTTTTAAAGGTGTGGGTCACTGTGGATGCTTAAAATGTTTTAATGTTATCAGGATTTGAGAAAAAGAAACTGAAGTGAATCTCTCCCCTACAAGACACATTTCTAAAGGAGGTCTAGCCACACCAAGTAAAAAGACTAATGCAGGTAGAAGGAGTTTACTACATTATTTCTGACGGTCTCATAGCTCTGAAAGATGAAGTTGTTAGCTTTTTACACTTCCACCCACTTCCACTGCAACCTCCCAATTTCCATTGCTTATGTTACTCTTGGCTTACTAGCACTCAGAACACTTACAATTGCGCCTCAATCTCACTCATCCAGATGTTCACTCCTAAGTCCATATTTAAATAAATTCTATGTTCACCATAAGGTAGCTTTCCTAAATTTTTTATTTTTATCTATTTCTTGAACCACTCCTTTTTACGATTTTTTTTAAAGGACTACTTACAGTTTTTAATCTGCATTTTCTCTCTATATATAAATGAAAACTGAATGGGGTAGATATGTTGGATTCACACCCTCCTCCAAAAACTAACGAGAAGCAATTGTCTTACTGCGTTTTGACGTCATAGAGTTCTGTGGAGAGATATTAATTCTATGTGATTTTTGCCCTGGAAGGGGATTTTTCTGCTTGGATGACTGATTATCATTAAAGAGTAGGACAGAAATTTTACCCTTCCTATGTATTTGGGCTACATCTCCTGTCAATACTGTATCAGGCTTTTTTTTTTTTTTCAAATTTTTTTAGCCCATGAGGTTTCATTTATAGTCTATTCTTTTCTTAGTATAAGAGCTCATTCCTATTCAATATTTGAATAAGTTTGGCTTTCGTTGGTTGAATTTTCTACTCCAAAGTCACCAGCTATCCTTATATTTGATCTTTGTCTTCATATCCCCCTTCTTTTGATTTACATTCAAAAATTGTGTGTTCACTATTTTATATAGTTTACTGAATTTTTAAAATCATGTTTTGACTTGATTTCCTTAACTCTGTAATTTTCCTCTCCATCGCCTTCTCATTTTTTACTGTCCTTGAGTTGCTGTGAAGAATCTGCATTCTTAATATTTTTCTGTAGACTGAAACACATACACATAACAAATTCCCGTTTCTTGGTCATACTTTCTTCCAGACTTGGTTCTTCATCATCTTTTACAAGACATTTCCTTGCTTCTCACTCCCACCTCCCATGTTATATTTACGTAATGGCTACGTCCTATCTTTTATCTTACCCTTAAAAGTTGACCGAACTTATCTTTGCACTAATATACTGAGGGTGAATTCCTGGTGCATGTTCCTCTTCATTTGAGACCTCTCTTCACTGTACTGAGCTTTAGTCTTAAGCTGGAATATTGTTTTTATCTATGTTTTCTGTGATCTGAGGGTTTTAGGATAAGAGGAGGGAAATGGGAGGATTCAGTTTGAGACCGGGTAGACAGCTTATTGAGAAAACTCAGCCATCACTTCTGATACTCCTTTAAGTCCTCTCCAGTCCACCTTCAGGCCAGCCAAGAGAGTTTTCCATGCCTATGAATTGAATCATTTGCCCGATTCAGCACAGTACTCTAGAAGGTGGCCAACTTTCCTTCTCCTGGCAAGATCCAACAGTGGTGTGTAAAGGCTCCTTGACATTTCACAAGGCTGTCACTAACCACCTCCCCAGTTGGAGGACATTTGTGAGAATTCTCAGGATCTGCCTGAGAATTCCTCAGCATGTCTTCCAGGGGATGAGATGGTTGGAGCCACAGTGTGCACCATCAAAATCTTTGGTGCCTGTCTGCTCTTTTCACAATTTACATTATGAAGCTTGTTCTTTCTTGGCTGCAGCAAATTTCTTTTCCCTCTTGTTTTCTTTTCTTCACATGAGTTATGGTACTTTTATTTTGTGTGTGTGTGTGTGTGTGTGTTTTTGATATGCCATCTTTACCCAGAAGTCAGCTGATTATTCACTGGGGATGAGTTACATGAAAATCCTCAGTGTCTTTAAGTTGTTTCCATATAGTTCTTTTTGAAAAAGATTATGTTGACTTGGGACATGACAACATCCTCTACCCTAAGCCTCCCTACCAGTGACTGGCATTACAATGGGCCGCAACATAGATTCTAAAGCAGAGGTACAAACCCAAATCTCTAGGAAATTTAAAACAAAGAGGAATTGGATTATGGGAAGTGAAAAGAGCACTCTTTATGCAAAGCACACATGCTCAGTAGCTCAAGCAATTACTCCCATGCTGGAATTCAGGACAGCATTGCCAAACCTGTAAAAGTGTCAAGATAGGTATGGTATTTAGTGTTTCAATATAAAATTTCCTAATTTTGGAAACAATGATGGATGCCAAATGAAGTATATCTTAAGGTCAGCCTGGATCCAAAGATTATCAGTGCGGTCACCTGTTATAAAGAATCACACAAGAGAAATCTTTGATCATTTTTTAAAAATGTTTTGAGACACTGTTTTGTTCTGTAGACTTCAATGACTTCTCAGAATTCCCTAAGCAATATAAAGCAAAAAAGATTCATGCTGATTATTTACAACTTATATATATGTGAGGATCCAACAATTTTACGATCAAGCATTTTAGGGGAAACAGTGATGACAGATGTAAATCTAATACAAGGTAAGCAGCTTACATACATTGTGGTCACATCAACAAAACAGCAAGGAAAACATTTTCAATTGATATATATAGAAAAGTTACTTGATAAGACCTGACACCCATTCTTGAAAAACAAAACCACAAACTTGGAAAAGAATGGGATTCCCTGGACTTGATAATGGGTATATTTGTTTCCTATGGCTGCTGGCAATAAATGCCCACAAATTTGTAGCTAAAATAAGAATGTCTTCTCTCACAGTCCTTGAGGCCAAAAGTCCGAAATAACGTGTCAGCAAGGGCTTCACTCCCTCTAGTGGCCCTTGAGGAGAATCTGTTCTTACCTTCTTTTTAGCTCTCAGGAGATGTTGGCATTCTTTGGCTTCCTTGGCTTCTGGCCACATCATTCTGAGCCTGCCACCATTTTTCACATTGCCGTCTCCTCTGTCATGTGTTCCCCTCTATGTATCTACCTAGACACATAGATTAGATTAGGATGCACCTGACCAACTTGGTGTAATCTCATCTCAAGTATGGTAATTACACCTGCAAAGAATTTTTTTCCCAAATAAGGTAATAGTCACAATTTCCGAGATGAGCATATTCACATATTGTTGGGGGAAGGGACTCTTTCAAATTTCTATATTGGTTGAAATCATTGTGGAAAATGATAGGCTAATTCTAGGACTCCAAACTTTATATGGAAATGAAAAAAGCCTACAAAAACAAAACTGAAAAAGATGAATGAAACTAAGACTTAACTACTGATTTGAAGGTTATAATGATCACAACAGGATGGTACTGGCTCAAGTTAAAATGGGACAGTTCACTGAGTTGAGCAATAGACCCACACATACAATATATTGATTTTTCATAAGAAATACAACACAATGGGGGAACTCAGTGTGAGAACTACCTGTATGGAGAAAAAAATAGCTTATACTTGTATTTAATACCATAGGAAAAAGTAAAATCAAATGAGTTGACAAATATCAATAAAATTTTAAAATGAGAACAATTCTGAAACTGTACTGTCTAATATGTTAACAACTCACTATGCTATAGAGCACTTGAAATGTAGCCAGCCCAAACTGAAATGCTCTGTAAATAGAAAATGTATTCCAGTTTCCAAAGACTAGGATTAAAGAATAATGTAAGATATATCATTAATTGTTATATTGATTACACGTTGAAATAATATTTTGGATATACTGGTTTAAGTTGAGTATATAATCTAAATAAACTTCACTTGTTTATTCCTAGAAAAAAATAAAGTTACATAATGGCTCCTATAATATTTGTTTGAAAACACGATGGTGGAAGAAAACCTAGGAATCAGCAAAAACTGATGGGATTGGACACAAAAAGCAATGGCTATAAAAGAATAAATTGGAAATTAGATTTTACCAAAAACAACATCTTCAAAAGAAACTATTCCTGTATTGAAAAGTCAAGTCATATTAAAATAGTCACTGTGCATATATATAGCTAACGTAGAACTTGCTTAAAGTGTTCATATAACGCACTATATGATAAAGCAGTCAATAAAAATGGGCAGGCTTGGAAAGATACAGCACCAAAGACAGGTGTAACCAACAAGCTCATGAATGAAGTCCAATGTCAGTATTCCAATGACTAATACAAATTAAATTCTCAATAAAATACCATCAATACTCCCTAGAATGGTTAAAATTGAAAAGGCTGACAATATCAAGTGTTGCCAACAATGTGGAAAAACTGGACTTCTCCTAAATTATTGGTGGGGATATAAAATACCGCATCCTCGTTGGAGAGTGTTTTGAAAATTTTCTTTTTTTAAAAAAAAGATTTATTTTATTCATACAGAACTGGGGTATCGGCCAGAGATGTGGAGGGTGAGAAGATTCACCAGGGACAGAGTGGGGAGCAGAACAGACAGATCTACGAAGTACACTGCTGAGGGGAGCAGCGGGCGGGTCAGGAGAGGTCTGCCGCGCCATGTGGATCTCCTCCCGGACAGGTGGGGATCGAACTCTTGAGG